TGACCAGATGTTGCTGCAACTCCCAGTATAGTTGAATAGAGTTGGAGGAGGCTCCTTCCTTTCAGAGCAATCATTTGCTTGAAGAATGTCAGAACGGGTAGTTTTAGAACAATAAAAGAAAATGTTCTCTCCACCAGAGATTGTTGTGCTTCCATAGTGCTGTCAGGATGCTAGGGACTCTCCTCTTATGTATTATTGCATGATCACTAAACTGCTGAACTGTCCCACCTATTTAAACAGCTTTATCAGGTCCTCAAGAGTAAGAAAGTTAACTTTATAATTTTCCTTTTTGATATAACTATTCTTTCTTCAGGCCACTGTCTAAAAAGTGTCAGTTGACTCTCAGTATATGCTTAAATGGAAAACACTGTTTCTGCCTGAAAGAGGACCACTTTGCTTTTGCTCAAGAGTTTACAGGTGCTGAACACATGCATATGCCATTACTTTAGTAATTTTTTTTTTGCATCTGAAGAAGTGAGGTTCTTACCCACGAAAGCTTATGCTCACAATACTTCTGTTAGTCTTAAAGGTGCCACAGGACCCTCTGTTGCTTTTTTTACTAAGTACATCAGAGCTGTAGCAGACTGTAAGACATCACAATTAATCTGTTTGCTTTGAATTCTTGAAATGTGTACAAGATAAAGTTGTGACTAGTTCTCATGAATTGACAGGTGCAAGGACTTAACTGTGATGTATTAGCTGGAACTCTTCCTTCTGGGGAGAGAACTTATAATGTAATCCTGTAATTATTAAACTGATAAATATTCCAAGGTTCATTCTAGAAATCTGAATTTCAGTCACTTAGAATAAAAACTGTTAGGGTTGGGTAAGGTGACTAAAAGCATCCCTGTTCTTGCCTCTGGCATCCTAATTAAAAATTTATTTTTTTTGGCTTTGAAAGCAACTCTTTAAGGAAATAATTGCTGTTCTGCAGTTGATTTTTGACTTGGTGTCAGAGAAAAGGTAATTGATTGTGTGGGCCATTTTGATGTTTTAGTTCAAGTGTTAGGCTAGTGACTATAAAATGTCAATTTTGCATTTCTTATATTTTCTGCCATTGGTTAAGGCTACGTCTTTAAAAAAGAAGTTGCTGTCACATATTTCTGTAGCTTTAAGTGCTCTTATTTTTATGTATCTTTTTCCCCCTTTAGCTTAAGGGTCTATTTTATCTGAAATTATTCATAGTGGATAAGACCATGCTGGTGAGGTTTGCCTTGCTCCCACTGGGTAAAGCTGAATTCCTTGTCTAAGGGTGAAAACTTGGTGCTCGTTACTCCTTTGTACAAAGATTGGTTATGGAAGTTTATTATTCAGAACTTCTTTTCTGTCATTTTTACATGAGGAATATGTTACTGACTGACTTTTTGTGTGCTAGACAACTTGGTAAAATCTTGGACTGTCATGGTGATATCAGAGGAAGCCCAAAACCTGAGTAGTAACTGTCCCAGCTCAGATTTCTGCCTACAGTCATCACACTCCTCCAAAGATCTTGTTAAAATCCTTCAGGAAAGGAAGCATCAACCTGACTTTTCTCTGCTTAAAAACAAGCAGGAAAAAAGACACTGTCGTGCTAAACATAGCAGTAAAAGGCACACTTCCTGTTTTGCTTAGCATTTCACCCTTAAGTGTGCCCATCTAGTTTGCTTCCAGCAATGGGGTGGGTCTGTGTCTATATACTTCATGGCAGAATTAAACTTGTTACATCTTATTGATGTAGTATAAAACATCTTTCATGTGACTTATATGTGGCAGGAGTGGATGGTACATCCCTCATTACTGCAAACTTGAATAAGATTGGCAGTGAGTAAAAGTTCTTACCGTTAAATGTTTGGTTGCCTTTGAAATGAGCTTGTGGTTTCAGACTAGTTCCTACTGGATTATGTCCCATCCCCAGCCTGGCCTGGCTCCTCACCCCTCTGCATTTCAGTCAGATCTATGCTAGAAACTTTTGCTGGTTTATTCATGTTGGTTACAGGTGTGAGTTTTTAACGACATTTCTGTACTGACAAAAGCCCTAATGAGGATGGAGATTATACTGGCACAAAAGTGCTTTTGCCGGTATCTTATTTTGCCACGGAAACTAACAGAGCTCTGCCAACAAAACCACTTTTTCTGATGCCTGGCACCATAGTAGTTCTGGCTGGGAGGAGCAGCAATTGCAGGGAAGTCTGCTCAGCCCTTGCAGCCATGGACTGGAGCATGCTCAGTGCAGACAGTCTTCAGTGAATTTAGGTGCCAAACTCTAAAGTCTCTGCTGAGTGTGTGTGAACTGAGAATTTTCATAGTCTTATAACTTGGCCTAATTTTGGCAAATTTTCATGGGGATGGCAAAAAGCATCTTCGTTACATGAAGGCAACCTCCTTGCCAAATGTCAAGACCCTGCTCCAAAGTATGAGATGCAAAAGCTTCTCGGCAAAATGGCTATACAGTTTTTCTAACATGAACAACACATATTTTCCTCTAATCTCTTTCTCAGTAATGACTGAATTATTTTATCTGAAACTTCCCTCGCACCCAACACCCTCCTCTCCTCGCCCCCCCCCCCCCAAAAAAAATCAGCCTGAGGTAGGCAGGCAGCCAGCATGGAAAATTTCAGCCCGAATGGTTGAAGTTTGGCAAAGTTATAAGCAACTGAAAGCAGGGTCTTAGAAGTATTGAGCAATCTTAATGGTGGCATTACCAGTTCAGCCTATAATAATTCCATACTCTTACTCCATTGTTTTAGGGCTGGTCCACACTGAAAACTTACGTTGCCATAGCTATGTCTCTAAGGGGTGTGAAAAATCCACACTCCTAAGAGATGTAGTTAAGCTGGCTAACACCCAGTGTAGACAGTGCAGGGTCAAAGGAAGAAATCTTCTGTCTACCTAGATACCGCCTCTCACTGAGGTGGATTAACTTCAGTGATGGGAGAACCCCTCCTGTCGCTGTAGTGATGGTCTACACTGAAGCACTCAGGGTGGATTTGATTTAAATCACTAGTCAGGAAGACTCAATTTAATCATGGTTTTCTACATAAAAGTGCATTCTTGTTGGTTGTTATAACCTTAATACATATTTTTCACAACTCAGAGATAGATGTAGGTTTCATTTTTAGAAGGTACACCCTATACATTTTTAAACAGTGATTTATTTTAAAAACTTTGCAGATTAGTTTTACAGCTATATCAGAAAATGAATGATTGTTTGGTTATTTCATGTACCAAAGGTAATTGAAGCAGATAGTTCACCTCCCAATGACTTTATAAATATCTCCAATTCAACAGGTTAATCATTAGTATTTGGAGGAGTTTCTTGCTATGCTGTATTAGGAGACAGACAGACATTTAAATTGTTTTATTTAACTAAAACACCAACTTTAAGTATTCTGGATTTTTTTCTTCAACCGCAAACACATAATATTTTAACAAAACAAGCATATGTCCCTCGCTTCTCACATTTTTTCTCCAGACTACTTCTCCTTGTCCAGATCTATTCCGCCCCCAACAATCTTCTATTCATTGAACTTTTTGAAACTTGTGCACTTTTAGAGAGGTAAGGGATTGATTCTGTGTACACAAATTTGCAGAGGGACAATAGGATTGAGGTCTGTTATTTCTCACCTCTATATATTATTTATTTATTTATTTAAAAACATTTTTGCTGTTAACAAGCATGTTACCTCTGGAAACACAAATCCACAGCTTGAGAACTGCAAAACTAAGCATCTCTGATGGTATCTTCTAGACTGAGCCCTGAGTCCCATTGGGTAGATAGAAAGATTAACCTAAATAATATATACAGAAGCCTGTGGAACCCCATAAAAATGGGTCCCTAATCCATGAACTATTCGAACTCATTTACAAAACTTTTCTTAAACATTACATGAATATATTGTCTCATATGATAATTAGAATTTATAACCCCTATTCCACAATGAGATATCTTTGACCTATAATGTATCTTAAGTAAAACTATCTTTAGGTTTTTTCCTCAAAAAGCATTTTATCAAAAAAAATCCAAATTAAATAAAAAATCCATTTTTTTTTTTAAATCATTGATTTTTATCCACCCTGGAAGTGCTACAATGGCACAGTTGCAGTGCTGCAGCTGTGCTGCTGTAGCAGTTTCAGTGTAGACGTAGCCTTAGCTGATGAATGTCCTAACTTTGGTAAAATCAGCATTGATCCAAAGTAGAATTAGAATTTTGCTGTATTCCATTCTGTTGTGTGTTCTGAATCCTGCTTTACAAAATGTTAGCAGTGAGTTGTTCTGCTTCTTTTTCGTGCTATTCATATTTACTTGAGGGAAGTGATGATCTGATTAGTGAAACTCTGTTATCTAGCCATTTTGAAACTGAACTTACATAAATAGCTTATGAAAGGTAGGCTGATTTACAGATTAAGATCATAAGAATGACCATACTAGGTCAGATCACTGGTCCATGTAGCCTAGTATTCTGTCTTCCAACAGAGGCCAGTGCCAGATGCTTCAGTGGGAATGAACAGAACAAGACAATTATTTAGTGGTCCATCCTCTGTCATCCAGTCCCAGCTTCATGCAGTCAGAGGTTTAGGGACATCTAGAGAATGGGGTTGCATCCTGGACCCTCTTGGCTAGTAGCCATTGATGGATCTATCCTCCATGAACTTATCTAGTTCCATACAGATTGTTTGGCTGTGGAGAACGTCTGCTGCTTTCTATTGTAGATGTTTAATTATGAGCTACCTGAGTGTATGATGATGCTATTTCATCTTTAGTTCTGGTATTTTTGATTAACTGAGATTTTGTAGAATATTTGTCATCCATCATGCTAAAAGAGAGAACATAATACAGGAATGCTTCTTGGTATTACAATAAAAGATGTTCAGTGTACATCAAAGTACTTTCAAAAGCAGGCTTGTTTGTTTAACGCTTAATGCTTTAATTATGTTGAGGTTTCTGGGTGCACTGTATTCAATAGCACTGTACAATCAGAAGCAACAATCCCTTTTAAATATGACATTTTTCTTCTTCTTAGGTTTTCTGTTGGAATATACGTCACACATTTATGGCGATTCTGAGCATCAGGGCAGATTTCTGCCAGGCCCAGCACAGCACCCTGGCTGACAAGTGAGCGTGTCCTACGTACCATAATTACTTTGCCTTGAAGACTCCAGACACAGTGGTCACCCTCAAATATATGGGATATCTTCTGCATATTGGAAGCATATTCCTTTTACTGACTCAAGCAAAACTAAGCATCAAGAAAACAAAGTGGAGAGAAGATCTGTCCTTATTTTTTTTGCCTCACCAGTGCCTAAATGTAGTACAGGCTGCCTAGTCTTGCATGTTGTCAGAATTTTTGGAGTCTGAAGGATACCACCTGCAGTTATTGAGGCCTAAATTGAATTCAAGTGGATTCTAAAGCAAACCTGGTTTTCTTGAAGTGAAAAATCTTAAAGAACAAACAAGTCAATAAAGATAGTTCTGATCGAGCCCAGGCATTTTAGTGGTCTCTTTAATGTTTTCTGCTGTGAAACGTTTCAAGGGTTATTGATTTTTTTTTTTTTTTTTTTTTTTTTGCCCCCACATATATTTTTTTGTTTGCCATTATGAACCGTCCAGCCCCAGTGGAGATTACTTATGAGAGTATGCGTTTCCTGATCACTCACAACCCAACCAATGCAACCCTCAACAAGTTCACAGAGGTAAGGTAGCCACATACAGTCGTATGTTTTTTTTTTTCCCCCCCGTTCCTTGTGTTTTGAAATTTCTAAAGCGGCACGAGAGACACATCTCCCAGATCCACCATGGGTGATGCCATCAGAAATACCCTTTATACTTAGTTAAAGCATTTTTTTTTTTAAATCAGGTACTTTGTTTCATTAAACTGTTTTTAAAGTTCTCCTGACTGTAAGAAGGAAGCCTTTGGTGATTTCCTTTCTTCAAAGTCCTACATCTTTTGACTGAGAGAGGCTGGATGGGACTCCTTTTGGAGCCCATAAAGCTCACTCCTCTTAGGCTCAGTCTACAATCAAAAGTTAGGTTGACCCAGCTACATGGATCAGATGGCGTGAAAAATCCATGGCCTGACCAACACAGTTAAGCCACCCTAACTTCTTGTGTAGACAGCACTAGGTTGGCAGAAGAATTCTTCCGTTGACCGAACCACTGCCTCTCGGGGAGGTCGATTACCTGTGCTAATGGGAAAACTCCTTCCGTTCGCATAGATAGTGTCTATGCAGAAATACTATAATGGCGCAGCAGCTGTGCCGCTGTGGCATTTCAGGTGTAGACAAGCCGTATTACTCTGCCATCCCCATAACTTGCCAGGTGACTTAGCATGTTGTCTTTACCTTTGTTGTCTGATGTAACAAAATGTACTAGCCCCAGAGAGCCATGGCTCATCTTCTGGCTTTTGAATAAGGATCTCTAGTGGTTGATTAATCTCTTTGGCCTTTTGACTAAGATCAAGTGTAATATATATAGAGGTCAGACTTTAATTAAAAAAAAAAAAGTGATTCTCAAACTCCCCTTCTAATCCCAGAATAGTTAACTATTTCTGGTAATGGAATTAGTAATGACATTTTTAAACTACGTCTTTAAACTAAACTGAGATGAATGGAGTCACTTCCTCTGTACATTGGGTCATATCCAAATTACTGTAATTGAAACCATAAGGGCTTAAACACTTTTTAAAACTGAAGCTTAAATTTTGCAGTAATAGATGGCATCACCAGAGAAGTACTGGTACAGCATACCACTAGATCCCATCTTGTTGCAAACAATGGCATATCTTCTTATAAGTCCTTTAGGGAGACTAGATCATGCCCTTGCAGGGGGAAGATTTGATCTAATAGATCTCTTCCATTCTGGTAAGATCTTGTGATCCTACACTGAGCTTTCATATCAACATGATTCCACCTTTCAGGAAGATGTTCTTTTTGTCAGCAGTCAGCTCAGATACTAATGATTAATTTGGACTGAAACCCTGATTTTTTTCCCCCATTGATGTGATGTTTTCATTTTATTGTTATGAATTATATTTCTAATACCTTGTCCAGGGGCCTAGAGCCTGGGCTGGACAGTGCATGTGGGGTATTAAAGTGTAAAAATAAAATTTTGAAGAGCCATTCCTGGTACAGGCACAGGAGGAAATGCTGCTTGCTGTTTGATCTTTCAAAATGAACTGGGGCAGCTTTAGTTTGATCTGATTATTTATCTAGCACAATGTGCTACTTCTAGTGCGTTACAAGGAAGCTAGAATATGGTTCTGCGTGTGTTCTGTTCCTCTCTGTTTCAAAATGTCTCAGCATTGCCTGAGGCAGACAGATCCATGCTTCTATTTCAAGAGAAAAAGAATCTGCATGCAGGGTATAAGTAGCTATTTTAATTTTGCTGTTACAAATGCATGCCTATAAGGCAGTTTTCCCACGCTGACCTCTCACCCTAGGTGAGACTGACACAGAGGTATTTCCTATTCCTCTTCTCCTCCCGGCCTTTTAACCCGCATCGTAATGTCCGTCAAGACCACATCCTTCCAGCTTAGAACTGGATGAGACTCTTGGAGCTATCCTTGCTCCTCAGTTATCTAGTCTCCTCCATGGAACTGTAGAGCAATGTACACGGTCATTGATTCAGCATAGCATGTTTATTTGGCTTTGTTAAAGTTGAGAAAATGCTCTAATTCCCCATTCTGGGAGTATGCTTCATGTGTTTGCTTTCCTTCTTGTTCTTAAAGGAGCTTAAGAAGTATGGAGTGACAACCTTGGTGCGAGTTTGTGATGCCACGTATGATAAAGCTCCTGTTGAAAAAGAAGGAATCCAAGTTCTAGTGAGTCTCTTTTAAAATTCTTTTTACAATTCTCTTTTAAAATTCTTTCTGAACTGAAAAATCATTAAATGTGAATCAGATGTTCCAGCACTGTTTCGCATTCATGCTTCTGCCTGATAATGACCCAGGACTGTGTGACTACTATAACAATTGAGAGTTCACTTTGATATGCTTGTTCAGTAAACTGCTTGTAACTTTGTGAAATACATCTGAGATATTGTAACTGTGCTGTTTATGGTTAGATTTGCACAATGAAATCTGGTATTGCTTGGGGTGTCTAGATTGATTTTTCGTTAGCTGCGTGAAGGCATTAGGGATGAAGGCAGATGTTAACTTTTGAGGCAGTGCATAGTATATCAGATGTGACTTTTCAATGTAATAAAAAGGTTGAAGTGACTCATCAGTCTCTCCACTGTGATCCCAGAAGCTGCACCTTGCTTAACAGTTAGTTGTAGGTAGTCAGTCTTCTATTGCCTCTCATTTTTGTGGCTAGAGACCATGGGCAATTTGGAGGAAAATCCACACAACTCTGCAGAACTTGTATTTGTGGGATATGTTCTGTTCTGCTTGATCCTACTCTTAAACGTATATATGACTTCAAAAGAAAAGGCTCAGAGTTATTTAGAAATGGGTACTGTCACGCTCTGATTTCAGCACTAGGTTGTGGGGAGCCTCCTACCTCACTGCAGCATTGTTTCTCTGCTGGATGATCCTCCCTGCTCCAGCACAACCATTAGCCATAGTGTTTCCAGAGCAAAATGAATGAATTATAGCAGTCAGTTTGCTCTGCTGGGAAAGCAAACTGCCCAGGACAGCACAGGTTCATGAGCAATCCTATTTCTACCAGAGGTGCAGTTGCCTTCTACCTCCACATTTCTGTTGAAATGCATATGTATAGCTGTCATAAAATTCCATAGGAGTGTGACAGTGTTTTGGTCAAAATGACTTGTTTACAGGTGAGGTGCATACACCATGCTGACTGGAAAATGGGTCAATGTCAATTATGGTGCAGAAGAGCCAATTTACTTCTGCAGTGATGACCAAATATCCATTTAGGAACTTGTATTGTACTCAGCACCATGATATTTGAGTGCCTTACAAATTCTAAGTTATAGACACAGGATCCTGTATGTTTGCCACACTTGTCCTTGATAACTAGCCTTCTCTCTGCATTCAGTATGTAACTGCTCCTAGTATACTCTTGTTGCAGGAGAGCAAAACAGCAGAGGGAACAAGTCCTCTAGACATCAGACAAGGATAACAGAAAACAGGAGGTGACAGAGAAGATTTGCTGCTAATGTCATACTTGAGCCAGATGATTCCAGCCATGATAGTATCTTCATTACTTAATACATCACAGTGGTGTTTTGGCATTTAAGAGTGGCTCTGAATATTCAACAGCATGACCCACAACCACTTGTCCCTCTTGAAACCAGTTCTGTCAAAACAGGCTGCTGTCACCGTTCAGAAATGGTGTTATATTACCAGCTGGCTGAGAAAATGACATGCCACTATTTAAAGCTAACATTTGTTTACAAAAATAATGAAGATTAAAACCACAGCCTGACAGAGATTAGCATCTGTTATTTAAAACTGTTGAGGTCAAAAGCCTTATGAAACTCCTGAAACAGAGCATTTTAGCAGATCTTGAGTTCTCGCCATGATATAAGGTAATATACTAGTAAGAGAGACAAAGATGGTGGAATGTGGCAGCTAGTGAGCCTGCTTTGACAGATGGCATAGTGAGAAAGCAGGGAACTGGAGAATTAGATGCAGCCTGTTTGAACTATACGTGTTGGTAAACAAGTGTATGCAATAAAGAGATTAAACTAGGGAAATAGGAGGCTGGAATGGATAATAGTATCTTTGGGATTAATGTACCAGATGACCAGAGGATAGCTAATGTGATGCCAATTTTTAAAAAAGGCTCCAGAGGCAATTGCAGACCGGTAAGCCTAACTTCAATACCAGGCAAATTTATTGAAACTATAGTAAAGAACAGAATTATCAGACACATAGACGAACACGATTGTTGGGGAAGAAGTCTGCATGGTTTTTGTAAAGGGAAATCATACCTGACCAATCTACTAGAATTCTTTGAAGGGATCAACAAGCATGTGCACAAGGAAGATCCAGTGGACATAGTGTATGTAGATTTTCAGAAAGCCTTTGACAAGGTCCCTCACCAAAGGCTCCTAAGCAAAGTAAGTTGTCATGGGATAAGAGGACAGGTCCTCCCATGCATCAGTAGCTGGTTAAAAGATAGGAAACAAAGGGTAGGAATGAATGGTCATTTTTCAGAATGGAGAGAAGTAAATAGTGGTATCCCCCAAGGGTCTGTACTGGGACCAGTACTGTTCAACATATTCATAAATGATCTGGAAAAAGAGGTAAACAGTGAGGTGGCAAAACTTGCAGATGATACAAAACTACTCAAGATAGTTAAGTCCAAAGCAGACTGCAGAGTGTTACAAAGGGATCTCACAAACCTGGGTGACTGGGCAAGAAAATGGCAGATGAAATTCAATGTTGATAAATGCAAAGTAATGCACATTAGAAAACATAATCCCAACTATACATATAAAATGATGGGGCCTAAATTAGCTGTTAGCACTCAAGAAAGAGATCTTGGAGTAATGGTGGATAGTTTTCTGAAAACATCCACTCAGTGTGCAGCCGCGGTCAAAAAAGCTAACCAGATGTTGGGAAGCCTCAGGAAAGGGATAGATAAGATAGAAATTGTCATATTACCTCTCTATAAATCCATGGTATGCTCACATCTTGAATACTGCGTGCAGATCAGTTTGCCCCATCTCAAAAAAGATATATTGGAATTGGAAAAGGTACAGAAAAGGGCAACAAAAATGATGAGGCGTCTGGAACAGCTTTCATATGACTTGGACTTTTCAGCTTAGAAAAGAGATTAAGGGGGATATGATGGAGGTCTGTAAAATCATGACTGGTGTAAAGAAAGTGAATAAAGGAGTGTTATTTACTCTTCATTTCACAAGAACTAGGGGTCACCAAATGAAATTAATAGCTAGCAGGTTTAAAACAAACAAAAGGAAATATTTCTTCACACAATGCACAGTCAACCTGTGGAACTCTTTGCCAGACGGTGTTGTGAAGGCCAAGATTAGAACAGGGTTAAACAAAGAACTAGGTAAGTTCATGGAGGATAATCGGTCCATCAGTGGCTATTAGCCAGGATGGTTAGGGATGCAAAACCATGCTCTGAAGTGTACCTAGCCTCAGTTTTCCAAAAGCTACTCTAAACAGAAAGCATAGATTCCAAAAGTGAATAATGATCTAGTGAAAAAGGTTTGGAAATCATCTCTCTCATAGAATTCTTACTTATAGCCATGTTCATATTATGCAGTACGATTCAGACAGTTCTTTACTTTCTTGACAATCTTTCATAAGATGGGGAAAAAATCATAGATGCTGCTCAGTTTTCACTTTTCCATTTATTTTTAAGCACTATATTTTGCATATGAGTAAGAGGAATGTGTTTGTAATTGTGGATAATACCTAGGGTAGGTATAAATGCCTCTTCCTAATCAGATGCCATGCATTGCAGTTGGACAAGCTGATCCAGTGGAATAGTTGTGCAGCAATCTTTTCAGACTCTTCCATGCAGAATATACGGTACAAATAGTATTTTGAAGTGGTGTACTTTTAGGCAAAAGTCTACATAGTTCTCTTCATCCTCCTTTATTCAGATTTGTTTAATTACAAAATTTCAGTGATATTTCAAAGACAGTTTAGTTTTTCCACAAAGTCCATTCTACAACTGAGTCGTTAGTCAGCAATTTCCATTAGATCAAATTAGCTGATTTTTAGTGAATTAGCTTTTAATTTAAAATGTTTAAGGACATTTTAATGTTGTTGAGTATTATATTATGGTATAATTGAATCCATATCTGGAATCCTAGGGAATTACATGTTTAATAGCTACAGTGTAGAATTTGGATGTTGACTGAATAAAAGCCTGTGCCGCCCCCTGCTCCTCTCCCACTAGCCCTACTACTGATTGTGGATTGCATTCTCTATCAATGTGTAATCCCTGCACAAAAATTATAGCTAATCTTTTCTCCCCCCGAAGGACTGGCCATTTGATGATGGAGCGCCACCCCCAAATCAAATAGTTGATGACTGGCTAAACCTGTTGAAAACCAAATTTCGTGAAGAGCCTGGCTGCTGTGTTGCTGTGCATTGTGTTGCAGGATTGGGAAGGTAAGTGTTGTGCTGTTTTGGTTTTGTAAGGGATTCACTTTAGCACGTACATAAACTAGTTGAAGATTTTGTTCTGGAAGATAGCTGCATTTATTCAGTTACAAAAAAAACAAAAACAAAACCCATGTTTAAGTAACATCAACAACTTCACACCATCACAATCAAAGAAGCTTACTACAATTTTAAAATGGTAGTTGACATGGCAACTGTATCTCAAAGCTCTTGTTTCATCTTGGATTGTTTGTTCACACTAGTTGATCTGACAGATCATAATGGTGCCAGAAGAATTAGAGAATCTACGCAGTGAAAAATGCATTGCATCTTTCTGCTAAAAATCTCTTGTGCTTTTTGACAAACCTAATGTGTATATATGCAGTATAAACCAAATACATTGTAGCTTAGGCCCAGAGCAAACAAGGTTCTGAATGCCTTCTATTCCATTGACTTCAGTGGGAGTTTGAGATTATATAAGCACCTTATATGGTTGGATTCTTTTTTGTTGCCTTCCAAATATTCAAAGCCATTGAATAATGTTACGAAATATTGGCATGCAAAATGTCACTTAAAAAGAAAAAAGCTATCTTTTATCTATTGATGCATGAAAGTCCCAAACTAGTTTTTAAACTCTTACAGTTTTGAGGTTGAGACATTCGAAAGCAGACCAGAGCAATTTTTTTCACTTATAAGCACCTGAAAAGAGAGGTTCACATTCCTGCAGCAGTGTGAATGCTGGAATAATACATTGATACGTAGCAGGTTAAATAGCCTTTTTGGTGGTTAGGGGACCCAGTGAATTGTAATTTGCTCCATCAGCCTTAAACTGGCTTTCCTCAAATTGGTAAATCAGGATATTGGTTCTGTCTCTCTTTTTAAATCCCTTAATTCTTGGCTGTATCGCCTACCCCCAATATACAATTCATACATCTATTTCCACAGGGGCTACAGATTTCATATTCATTTTAAGACTAGGACAGGTATTGTTTGAGATTGTAATGTTGTTTTGTTACTGACAGCTAAGCAAATTGTCATGTGTGTGCCATTTCCCTCTCTCTTTTCCTACCTCCCATTACTCCACTCCCCGCACAGATCACATCACCTTCCCTCCCAGTCTGGGAAGGGAGTGCCCCAAGATTATTCCTGATGTGTGGATTTCTATAGTATCTAATTCCTAGGACAGCTGACAAGATTATTAATGACCTCTTCCAAAATGTAAAAGCTCTAGTTTAATATGTAAAATAAACTTGTGGAAGGTGGTTGTGGACAGATTGGACTGTCATTTAAAATTAGTCTTTTGAATCATTTAATCAGATTTCATAAGGTAATCAGGGTCAGGCTAGTTCAGTACTTGCATGAGGGAACTCGGAGATGCAGCAGAATATAACAAATTCAATGGGTGTAACTCCTGTGTTAGTACTGGCTACCATCCCAGCATAATTCTAGGGACACTGTTCTGTAGGAGTTTCCATTTTTTGATAAAGACCCAAAACCAAGGTCCATTGTGCCTGAGTTCCCCCTGGTACTTCCTGGTGGAGTATTCAATCCAGGTGTCTTCCTGGCCATAATCCAATTTTAGTAATCATATATTGTCTCCTAAATTTCCTCCTTTGTTTTCAACCTAATATGCTATTCACCACCTCCTCTAAACTGTTGTACATTAGTGCTATGTGCTATTTAAAAGTTGATCTGTTTCACCCAAGGTGACTGGATTTTAGTGGTGGGTAAAGAGAGATCTCTCTCGCATATGATTTCTTTGTGGGTCCGAAATGCAATTTCCTCCTTCTCCAGGAAGGAGTCACCATGATTGCGACTAAAAAGAAAATTCAATTCTTCAGTTAATTGGGAAAGCTAAATAATAGAACATCCAATCTCACAAATGTAAACAAATAAGTTCTGTAAACAAATCGTTACTTGTCCTACATGCTGGGAACGAAGAGATAAATACTTGAGATGCTTTTGTGATGGGGGTGGGAGCCATATAAATCCTTAACTGGGTATAATGAAAACACAGAAAGGTGGGATAAAGAAAAATCAAGAAGAGTCATGTAAGTCGGGTTGGCTGGTCTTAACTTGGTTCTTAAATCCATTTCTTCCCCTAGGGGAGAGGTGGAGAGGTGAAATGCTAAAGCAGGGAAAAACCAGAGTAATGCAAAAACCTGGCAATTAACATGATTTGCTACTCTGTTCTTTGTCTTGTTTCTATGAGGATTTTTTTGGGAGGGGGAGCAGGGTGGAAGATGACCACATATTGTAGCTCAATTAAATGATTTAAAACCCTCCTGTTTCTTGCCCAGCGTTAAGTCAAAGTGTGCTGATAGTTTGACATCTACTGTTATTACAGACACGAGGTTTTAGATTTATTCATTCAGAATGACCTTTCTGGTTTTCCTCTTGGGTTTCCTTTTTTGTAGAAAGAAAAGGAAGAACGTCTCAAGTTTTGCTTAGGCCCTGGGAAGCACTACATTTATGCTGCTGGGGAATCAAACCTCAAATGTTGTCTGTTCTACTACTTATATTTTTAAAGTGCATTTAGTGCTTGTGGGGTTTCAGACTGACAGCAGTGGAAACTGAAGTTGTGTTTATCCAGGTACTGCACAGCAGTGACATTGCAAGCTGCCCTGCCAGAGTTGCTCAGTTTTGTTCCTGATTAACTGTAAGGTCAAGTAGTTCAGTTTACAACCTCTGTTCAATCCTTGACCTCTCCTCTGCCACCAAGGTGCTAGTGTAAATTGTGTGCTAGTGGTAATATGAACAACTGAGCACTAGGAAGTGGACTCAGAGCATCATCTCCCTTCACATAGCACCCCTGAACCAGCCATCCACATATGCTTCCTACTCAGCTGAGCTGGTTTCAGAATAGCGACCTGCAGGCGAAAATCTTATTCCATTGCCCCTCAAGTTCCACATATAACCTAGCAAAAGGAATAAGTATCAATGTTGTCATTTCAAAAGCAGGGCATCTCTTTAGTCTGTATGGGATTAAAGTTGTGTTGTAACAAGAAGTTAAATGTACCAAAGATGAACCTCAAATTTATTTATGGCCAGCAGCGTACAAAATTGTTTTATAGTAAAAAAGTAAAGAATAAAAATCCATTATCACTATTTCATGGCAGACACTGAAGGAGCTATTGATTTTGGTGCTGGACGCAGCGCTGTCTGCTGAAGAGAATTTTACATTAGATGCTGCAGGCAAATGGCTTGCTGTAGGAAAAATATTTAAAGACAGGATACTTAAGCTGTTTGTTTATAGACGAATATGATCTATTTTGAGGGGTTCAATACATTGGTTCTCTAGACGGTTAAAATAAATACTGATTTCTCTTCGTAGGGCCCCTGTCCTAGTTGCACTGGCTCTCATTGAATGTGGAATGAAGTATGAGGATGCAGTTCAGTTCATAAGGCAGTAAGTAAAAGTAGCTAGCTCTCCAGCACGCTTCCCCTCTCCTATGTCTGTCTATGCAATGTATCGTTGTGTTTTAAGAGCAATGTAGAATTAAGGCACCGGTTTGTGACGCAGTGCATTTGGAGTGAAAGTAAAATGCTAACAAAAGAACTTAGAGAATCAGTTAATAAAATTCCTGCTTGAGGTGGACATTGACAAATTACTAAAGAACCAAAACCAAATGTAGCTTGGCCAGTTACCATAGCAGCATGATGTTCTAGAGCTCTTGGGCCAAGCAGCATGATCAATCTACAGCAGGAGCCCAAAGATCAGGAATCCTGATGGTGTCATGTGTGGAAGGGGCATAGTCTACTCAGGAACTGGTGGCAGCCATCCAACATGGAAAACAGCAAAAGTGGTGCTTGAATGAGAGAGAGCATAAAGTTCTGGGGTTTTTGTAATAGCACCAGATCTTTAAATGAAGCCCACCAGGTAGGAAGATACTATACAACCATGTGCCAAAAACATGTTTTGTGTTGCTATTGGAGCTCCAAGGTCTTCAGCTGCCTCCCTAACGCATCTCACTGTCAAGAGGACTTCCTTGGTCCTCCTAAATTTTCTTTCTTGATTTTCCTCTCACTACTCTAGCTTTACCTCTTTTTCTTATTAAGTTAAATTATCCTCTTTGTTAACTCCCTTCAAATATTTGTATTTGGTTGTCATGTCTTCACTTAGCTAATACTACACATGTAGACATTATGTTAATCTTCAAGGGGAGGGTGGAGTGCCCCTTATGTCATTCAGCAACCACTTCTGCTTGTAGGAGAGGCAGTGGACTCCAGGGAAACTAAATCTCCCAACCCAAAGGCATGCTGTAGTCTGCTCAGTAAGATGAGGGATGAAAGCGTTTTATAATCCATAGATTTGACTAATTCAGCTCTACAGATCCCGAGTTCCATGTCCCAGTTGAGATCTCCTTTCCTAGAGGAGGCAGTGGATAATGAAGCGAGCCAGATGGCAGTTCTGTGGGGCTGGAAAAACCTTGCAGTGCGGCGAGCGGCTATCTGCTTTGAAATATACACAATAACTGAAGCCGTACTTTTGCAATTGATATGACGCCTTCATTCTGTTTATTTTAGGAAAAGGAGGGGAGCTTTCAATTCCAAACAGCTGCTTTACCTTGAGAAATACCGACCTAAGATGCGATTACGCTTCAAAGATACCAATGGTCACTGCTGTGTTCAGTAAAAGAAACCTTAAACGAAGGCTGAAGTTATCATGGCTGTTTTCTGGACTCTTGTCACCTGGAAATGTGAATCTGGAATCAAACTACGTCATCAAATTAGTGGTGGAGTCAGTGCTCCTCAGCCTCTGTCCTAATGGTGGTGATGATTTAAAAAAAATAATAAAATTAAAAAAAAGAAACATTTCAGTGAAGGATTGCTTTCTCCTCAAGGTGCAGTTTGAATATCTGCCAGGAGAAAATCAGTTTCTGAACCTTCTGTATTTTTAACTTTTTTTAAAAAAATAAAATAAAGTGAAGTTTATGTCTAAGGAAAACCAGCAGAGCATTGGGTTTTGCAGAAACCATTTTCTTGGTTCGGGGACAGTGCTTCATAGTTAGGTCCTGGCATGTGGAATTTCCTTTGGGACTTCCTTTTTTTTTTTTTTTTTTTTTTTTTTTTTTTTTTTTTTTTTT